AAGAATCTCCCGATGAGCTGCGGGTTTCGAACTCGCTAATGGCTGCGATTAAGAGATCCCAAGCTAATCAACGCCGGCACCCCGATACTTTTCATTTGTATCAACAGTTGAATTATCAGAATTCATGTCAGCCGTCTATTTCTGCTGTGAAAGTTGAACTGAAGCATTTTGTGTTGTCAATTTTGGATGACCCGATTGTGAGCCGTGTCTTTGGTGAAGCGGGTTATTGGAGCACGGATATAAAATTGGCAATTCTAAATCCTCCTACCGTTTCAAGATTCTCCAAAACCCGGTTCCCGCCTCTTTTCTCGGGTAATTTTAGTGATTTAGAATCAAATAAACGTGGCTTTAATTTTCCATTTCCTGGGGTTATAGAAAATGTTGACGAGAATACGAGAAGAGTAGTAGAGATTCTTGTGAAGGAAAGTTTGCGAAATCCATTGTTGATTGGGGTATATGCTACTGCTGCACTTAAAAATTTTACAGTCTCTTTGCAGAGGGGTAAAAATGAAGTCTTGCCCAAAGAAATTCACGGTGTGAGTGTGATTTCTATTGAAAACGAGATTTCCGAGTTTATTAATGGAGGTTTCACTGAAGACACGATGAGGCTGAAGTTCAAAGAATTGAGAGACATGGTGGGAAAATGTGAAGGACCTGGGATAATTCTGAATTGTGGAGATTTGGGGGCATTAGTGGATGTTGAGTCAGTGGATACTGTGAATTATATGGTTTCAGAATTAAACAGGTTGTTGAATAGTTCTGGTGGGAAATTATGGTTGATTGGGGCTGTGGCAGACGATAGTAGTTATAAGAAACTTTTAGCTCAGTATTCTTCTATTGAGACTGACTGGGATCTGCACCTGCTGCCCATTACTTCTTTCAAACCTTCTTCCATTGAAAGTGTGTGCTCCAAGTCCAGGTGAGCTCTGAATTTGTATTATGTTCCTTCAGTATATATTTTAAAGTGTTGTCCCAGTGCTGAACTCTTTAACCCTAAATGTTTAAATGAGACAAAGTATTGCTCTTTTTGTAACTTATTCTGAAAATAATTAATATCGAATTATGGATACCAACACCTGTAAGCACATCTGATGGGATGAAGGATCAATTTTCGTAGAGTTGCTTGTGCAATTGGGAAGAGTTCGTAGGGGCATGCGTGTCTTTATTCTTTTTTCTTGAGATCCAGGCTAGTACAACCCTTTGGCAGGCTCAGGTCTTAAGTTGGTTGTACTGACAATGAGATTAAGAGGTCTGAATTTGAGACTTCCATTAAATTTCTTCATACTTCTTTTTTTCCTTTTTGTTGGCAATGAATTTGAGAGGAACGAGAAATTCTGGCAGTGTAATCCGTTATCCTTTGGCAGTGAATTTCAGAGAAATAAATTAATCTCTTGTTATTCTTATCTCACTACTTAACCAGAAAACATAGATTGACATTTTAAGGTTTAAGCTAGCTGCTCTTTTTGTGGGATGGTGAATAGTGGAATTATTAAAGATCATACCTAAAATAGCATTGGATTCTTGTTTTATTATTTATTTGTGAAGGTGTAAAAATTGTAGAAAAGCAATTTAAAATATAGAATTATAAATAAATGAACCTTATGTATAGGTAAACTTCTTTCTTTAATATGCTTGTTTTACTTTATAAGTTTCCTTGTTGCAGCCACAAGTTTTTTGTCCCTTTCTTTGACGAAGGCTTAACAAAGTCTGTTATATTTTATCTCTGATAAAATCACAGTATATAAGCATAATTTCCATAAGTATAGTATCTAAACTTAAATTACATCTTCTATGCATGGTGTGTTTTGTAAATTTTTCCCACTTCCTTTGACAAAGACCTGTCAGAATTTATTAATGCTTTTGGCACGATAATGCGCAAATTTTAATTTTCGAAGATACGGTATGCAAAGTGTAATTACACTCCATCCGCATGTATGATTTGTAAATTTCATTATTTTTTACTTTGTTTCGTTATTCGAAAAAACAAAGAATTCCTTTCATTTCCAGCTGCCACAAAATTCCCATATATAAGATTTATTCATCCTTAACTTGGATGTATGCATCGTTAACTTGATCGTTGTTCATCCAAAATATGTTTATTTGACCTAAGCCATCAATTGTACATTTTAGCAATTTGAACTCACAGTTGCATGATCATGATATAATTACAGCCTGATGGGGTCATTTGTTCCTTTTGGTGGATTTTTTCCTATGCCATCTGAGTATGAGCCTCTATGCACAACTCAATCCTCAACTCTCTGCAACTTGTGCAAGGAAAAGTGTGAGCAAGAAGTTTCTGATCTGAAGGGAGAATCCACTGTTTCCGTCATAGGTCAGCAATCAGAAATTGTATCTTCTTGGCTGCAAATAGCTGAATGTGACATGAGCAAGAGTTCAGTTTCTGTGGAGGTTTATCACTACTTTAAATCCTAACTTCCTTGAAAAAGCTAAACAAAGTTGCTCAGACTTCTAAAATACGCCTATCAGTAGTTGGTGAAATAGTTTTTGTTGAACCACTTGATTTAAAAGCTAGGTTATAGATAAGGTCACATGTATACGATTTAAATTTGTCTTCACACTCTTCCTCACATGTAGGTGGGATTCATTTTTCTCCATCAAATTCTAACCTGTGAACATTTTCATTAAATGGGTGGCGGTGAGATTTGAATTTAGGATTTTTGCCTGCTCTAACATATGTTGAACCACTTTATCTAAAAATTTAAACTGTTCGATAAGGTCACGTGGATTCAATGTATTGTAAGCATGCACTCTGTCATTTCAGTGCAGGCCAAAGATGACAAAACTGTATTGGATGCCCGAATTATGGGACTGCGGAGAAAATGGAGTGACATATGCCAACATCTTCATTGTACTCGGTCATTTCAAGAAGATATTTCACACAGGTCACAAATTTCTGGTGATCGTTCTTCTCAGGTTGTTTCTGTTTTGAGGGAAAGCGCTCATGCAGATTTATTATTGGACAAGGGTAGAGTCACCAATCTAAGCCCTTGCATTTCATTGGACATGCAAAACAAGCTCAAACCTGTTGCATCAGACATCAATGCCAATGCAAAGGCTGAACTACCAGTGCAAGGTTGGAAGATTCACCAGACAGAAACGAATGTCCTACAGAACCCCTCCTGTGCTCCGCATAAGTTGAGTTTGCCTATTGATTGTACGATGTCGCCCTCTATTACTCATGTGACCACAGATTTGGGGCTGGGAACGCTTTATTCATGTGCTGTGGAAGAACGTAGAAACTTCAACCCTCAAGAGAATTACAATTGCATTCAGTACTTCTCTGGTTCATCTAGAACTAACGAAAATGCCTCCCATAAAGTTACCCAATCATCGTCCTGTTCTTATGGTCAACTGGAAAAGCCAATTGGTGGAAAAGACCTAGAGTACCCATGGAAAATTCTTGCCGAAAATGTACACTGGCAGATTGAAGCCATTCGAACTATTTGTCAAACTGTGTCCCGATGCAGATCTGGAAATGGGATTGGTCGTGGCTCAGACAAAAGAAATGTTTGGCTCAGCTTTCTGGGACCTGATAAAGTGGGGAAGAGAAAAATTGCTGCATCACTCGCTGAGACAATATTTGACAGAAAAGAACACTTGCTATGTGTGGACCTGGGCACTCAATTTGAGATTAGAGCTTGTAACTCCGTCTTCGATGATCATGATTCAAAATATTTTGATTTGAAGTTTGGGAGGAAGATGGTTGTTGATTACATTGCTGAGGAGTTAAGCAAGCAAACACATTCAGTTGTACTCCTTGAAAATATAGAAAGGGCTGATTTCTTGGTTCAGAATAGTTTGTCTCAAGCTATCAAAATTGGTAAATTTCGAGATTCCAATGGGAGGGAAATTGGCATCAACAACACCATCTTTGTCCTTACATCAAGGCTCCTAAAGGCCCACGGCAATCTTTTTTCTGCAAAATTATCCTATGAATATTCAGAAGAAATAGTATCCAAGGCCAAATATTTTCAAATGCAAATTTTAATTGGTTCTATTAGTGAAAATTACAGTAGAAACAGTACTGCAAATGTTTTAGTAACTCCAAGTAAAGCAACCGCTATCCCATGCTCTGTAACTAAAAGGAAGTTGGTCGATAATGAGTCTACCAAGACTGGGATGCCAAAACGAATGTGTGAGATGCCAAGATCCATTCTTGATTTAAATTTGCCAATAGAGGAGATGGAACAGGACAATGATATTGATAATGATAAATGTGATGAGACCAAATATGAAGTGTGGTTGGAAGAATTGCTTGGCCATGTTGATGAAAATGTGGTTTTCAAACCATTTGATTTTGATTCTCTGGCCCTGAAAGTTTTGAACATGATCAGCCTTGGATTTCAGAAAGTAGTTGGACCTGATATCTTCCTTGAAATTGATCAAGAAGTGATGGTTCAAATACTTGCGGCTGCTTGGTTAACAGACAGGGAGAATGCAGTTGAGGACTGGATTGAACAGGTTCTTTGTTCAAGCTTAATGGAAGCCCATCGGAGGTGTCATGTTAATGGTGATTATGTAATGAAATTAGTAGCTTGCGAAGGAGGTGTTGTGGAAGAGCAGTTTTTTGGAGTGTGCCTTCCAACGAGAATAATTCTGCACTGATATTTGATCAGGTATGCATCTTATATCATTGTCCGTAGTCTTGTTAGCAGCTTGAATCCTTTCTGTTGGTAAGTTATTCCACAGTTTCGTTAGGTCTCTTTTTATATAATAGAGTTGTAATTAAGGATTAGATTATTTCTAATATTTATTATACTTGGCTTTAATTTTTGTTGTTAATCCTTCGAAAAACCCTCTCTCAAACTTTTGACAGTATGGTTTTGTACAGAAATCTCGTTTCTTAAAATACTGTCCAAAGGAACGCAAAGTTGTGTTTCTCTTTGCTTTTAATTGAAATAATTTACAGGTTAACTATTTGCCAGAAAAAAAATGTCTGTACCATATGTTAAATTCATTGAAAAGCTAAGACTTGAATATTAAGGTGGTAGGTCTAAACTTTTCATCGGAATTTCCAAGTTGCTGAGTAGCTCAGCCAACAGTCCATCAAGAATTTGTAGACCCAAATATCTTCCAATCGCTTCGAAATCTTCGGCCTCCTTTAATATCTCTTTGAATATCCAATTGGATTGTGATGTCTCCCTTTCAACCAGTTGGCAAACTTCATCCCACTTCTCTTTACTTCTCTTAGTATCATAATCATCTCTGATCAACCTTCTTTTCTCTGCCTTTCTGTAATTCTCAAGTTCCTCTGATAATGTCCTGGATTTTGAATTTGCTGAACTTGAAACTTTCCCTACTATATAATTCAAACAAGTTACACTTTTAAATTATAATTTATTCATGCACTGTATCAATTCATGACTGAGGAATCTAACCTGAATTAGGAGAGTCTGGATCAGGTTCAAGTGGGACTTCAGCTAAATCAAGAACAAGAACAGAATTCGGGCTTGAATCATTTGAATCACAACCTGTCCCCAATTTGGTTACCTTGGATTTAGCTTTCTTTATTCTTGTTCTTCCTCTTCCTTTGTGAGCAGAGTCAACTAATTCGTAAACAAGATATGACTTTTGACAGGAATTCTTAAGTACATTACATGGATCCCTAACCTCACAGTCGCTGTAAATCTTTTCAGAATCAATGAAGTTATCCTGCTTTTGGCCTTTTGGAACTTTATTTGCATCTTGATTTTCTTTATTCTGTTCTTGCATAATCTCTCTACTATTGTTCTTGCAAATAGCTTTCTTTCTTTGCTTCTTCTCACAAGAATTCGTGTCTGATTTCATTCCTTGCCAAATTTCGCCTGCATTCTCAAAGCTAATAATGAAAAAGCTCTCATCTTCTAGCTCTTTATAGCTAGAAATTTCACGAAAGCTCTTAACGTGTCGTCTGCTCCCTTGTATTGACTTCAAATTCGTCAATGAATGTATGGCATTCATTGACTGGCTTCGCCCAATTGAATTGGGACTTTTCTCCGTAATATGTGGGCGTGATTCTAATCCCATTAACCTAGCCACTACTCCTGGCGTGTTGAAGTCCTCGGGGTAGTTTGCTTCTTCCACGAACTGTAACTTGTCACTGACTAAAGGCTGTTTTTCCTCTTCTTTGAAATGATTACGAGGGTGTGTTGGAAGACTATTAAGGCAAAGAAGCCGGCGTAATACCCCCATAAGACACCCTGGACTGCCATTCTTAGAATTGTATGCTTTGCCATCGACAGAGGGTGATGTAGTAGTGGTGGCGGTGGCAGCGAAAGAGGAGGAAGAGGAAGATGAGGACCAAAAAAAGGACGAGGTTCTCATCTACTTGATGAATGGAATGAGTTGTTTGAATCCCAACAATTGTGAAAAGAAGAAAATTAGACAGAAAAGCCTGTAGGTAGTGTTGAATAAGTGGAAAGCAGGTGCAGAAAAGAAATATTTGAATGGTGTGAAGGGGTAGAGGCATTTGCATTTGATGTGAAAGAGAAACTGATTTTGATAGAGAATAAAAAAAGAGTGATGCTCCCACAACAGTAGAGAGGTGAATTTTTGTGGAATCTGTCGGTTTGAACAAAATTCCAAGGTGAATTTTATATAATTTTTTTTATGGATTCTTTAATTTTATACTATGAATGCGGAAGACCTGTCGTGATTTTGTCGAATGGCTACTTTTTGTCCAATGAACACGTGATTGTTGTTCAGGTTATGTACACTTTGGCTGAAGAGACATTTTTGTTGTCCATGATTCATTTAAGACATGTTTGATACCTATAGAATGTTGCAATGCAAACATGATAGAGGAAGAGTAAGAGATACCTATTGAATGCAAGTTTTTTTTTTTTTGAATTAGATAAGTATATTATATTCAAAGTGTAAAAATAAAGTACATGATCATTGGGGCATATCCGAGAAAAACAAGTCTAGGAACATACGTCATCCTAGCACCAAAAACAATAACCTAGATTAGAACTTATAACCTAGTCACGACAATAGAAAATATTCGCAGAAAAACCCCATGAGCGTTGAAGCCATCTATTCGCACTAAATGGCACCAAGCCTCTACATAAATCCACTCGTGTACAAACGGAAAAAACAATATCTCGAATAACAACAGATTCATGTTTAGGAATCACACCATGGACCCTAGCATTACGCTCACGCCAAATAGAATAAATCGAAGCCGCAAACGTCAAACGAATAACAATGGACCGTAATGAATTCCCACGAAACTGCTTCATCCAAGAAAGAGTATCTGACCAACTCCGTTGAACCCAAGGCAGGTTAGATTTTGCATGCAAAGCATGCCAAACACGCTCAGAAAATGGGCAAGCAAAGAAAAGATGATCCAAGTCCTCATCCGAATATCCACACAGCACACAACGTATAGATTGTACCAAAGCAAAGTGAAACAGCTATGTCTGTGTATAAAGGCCACCCTGAATTGCTAGCCAAAGGATAAATGCATGATGGGGAATATACTTAGGAAACCATACAATGTGATACCAAGTCAACCTATGGTAACGAAGTCGTATAGACTCCCAAGCACTCCGAACAGAGAAGACTCCATGCACATCATCCACCCATCGCAAGACATCCTTTCTAGTACTGTCCGGCCAAAAAGTATCAAGTGTATCTCGCATTATATCAGACAACACTAAGGAACGAGCTGATGGCCACCTCCAACTATCACCCTCAACAATATCAGCCACCTTAGCTAATCTACTCAATCTAGATTCATGAATGATCCTCTCACCAAGAATCTTCTGTAAAGGGCCAAGAGGATGCCAATTATCAAACCAAAGAGAAGCACGTCTACCGTTACCAATTATAAATTTAATTTTGTCCCTCCCTATCTCCCGAAGTGCAAGAATCTTCCTCCAGCTCCAAGAGCAATCCTTAGGACACTTCAATTCCCAAATGCTTCGGCCTTTAAGTAAGTAACTTCATGCCCACAAAACCCAAAGAGAAGAGGCAGAATCCGTACAAATGGACCAAAGGTGTTTTAACATAACAACCTTATTCCAAATCTCTATGCTTCACAAACCCAAACCACCCTCCTTCTTAGGCATACAAATTTTCTCCCACGCTACTTTAGTCCCTTCGGTGCCAAGGTCACAACCTTTCCACAAGAAGGTATGTATGCAAATAAAGTCAAAAAATTCAAAGCATACATGCATAAGAGATAGAACCAATAGACATTGCTTTGCAATGTATATAACAAACAATTATTTAGAGACTTTCAAAGTTGACATGAATTGGAAGTCTAAACTAATTATGAAGGCTGTAAACGATGATTTGAAGTTGACGATTAATAAAGTCACATTATGGAAGACTAGAAGATACGCTAGGTTATTGATGGAGGGATCTGATGAGCAACAATTTAGTTTGCTTAGATCTTTTGCATTTGAAATTCTGAGAACTAATCTTAGGTCTACATGCTTGCATAGTTGCCATGCATGGATTAAAGTTTCAAGGTATATATATTTGCTTAGAAGCTTGAAAAAGACGCTTTCTAACAGACAACTTTTGGAATTAGATGAATGTTACTTAAAAGGAACGTTTGGAGGTCAAACGCTTGAAGTTGTGGCATTAGATGCTAATGATTGTATCAACCCAATAGGATATGCAATATGGGAGAGAGAGAAAATGCTACTACTTGAAGGTGGTTGTACAACATCTTGGTGAAGATTTGAAGATATTGAACAGTAATGATTAGGCTTTTATGACTGATGGACAAAAAGGTCTATAAAATATGAGAGAAAATTTGTATCCTAAAGCAAAACAACGTTTTTTGTGTCAAGCACATTTACATCAATTTTTTTAGATTTGATTTTAAGGGTTCAACTCTTAAAGACTACTTATTGTCGACTATACAAATGGATTTGAGCTTAATAATGGATGGGTAAATTAATGAATAGTTGAGTGAACATTTGGTAGCCATTTATTTTTCGATGAGCAAATGATAACCAATAATAAATTTAAGTGACCATCCATTTAATTTATTCGTTGATAGATTACAACTACCATCTTGAAAATTCTATTTGTACAACCTCGATTGACAACCTCTCAAATGTGTGCAGGGTTCGTATGTTTAAAATATTCAAAAAAAAAAAAAAAAGTGGATCCTTCATGTGAGTAGTTGTCAACCGAGATTGTTAACCTCGATTGTACAACTAGCATGGCTCAGTTCTATTTTTCAAGTTTATAAAGTCACCTTTAAATGTGAATTTCTATCAAAATTAATAATTACAAATTTACTATTTTATTATTCAAAAAATAAAGCCACACCGATCGATGTGGAGTTGTATTGAATCTGGAAAAAAGCAAGGTAGACTAGAGGTAGACCTAGCATGGCTTGAAAGCCTGAAAACCAGGACGGAAGAGGGTCCATAGGGACTAAGGTTTTACAAAACAAAAGGGTCCCTTAGCACATGGGCACATTCTCACACACACACAAAAAAGGAAAGAAAAAAGAAAAAAAACCCATAAGAGATTCAAAAAGAGTCCATACAAGGCGAGGTCAGATTCAATGTTTTGAGCATTTTCAAAAGAGATAATGATGTATAACACATTAAAATATTTAAATTTAGAGAGTAATTTTTTTTATACTTCAATAATGATCTTTATTTTGGTTCTGTATTTTGTTGTTTTAATAAATATTTAGTGCTTGTTTGATAGGGATTTTTGGGGGAAGAATTGATTTTTAAATAGTGATATGATGGGAAATGTGTTGTTAAAAAAGAAGAAAAATTATTGATGCGATGGAAAATATTATTTTATTGAAGAATGTGTGATTGAAAATGAGAAATGATTTACTGTAGAATTTGAGTATAAAAAACAAACAGGGCCTTATTGATTTCTCCTCAACTGTTATTTTTCATATTTTTTTATATATTAATGAGCAATCAGTTCAATGATGATTTGAACAATTTAAGAAACGAAGTATTGAAATCTTTAACTTATTAAATGCATTTATTATTATGTAGAGAGTCAAGTTCAATCGATTTTAAAAAGTTAAAACAGTCTTTGGAGTTCATTTTTAAACATTAACGTTTTTTAAATAGAAAGCATATTAGATTTAGAGTCTCTTGGGGATGCTTCAACATGTGTTACCACGTCACTTTTTATTAAATTCGACTGCAAGAAGACTTACGGCAACATTTGTATCTCGATAAATATGAGGGAATGGAATGTCTACAAGCAAGCACACATAGATTACCTTTATAGTCAGCTATGGAACTAATCAAATTTCCATGTCTAAAGAAAAAGAGTAAAATACAAATAATACTAACTGCTATCTAGCGGCATTCTCTTTGAATTTCCTTTTGAACATCCATCAGTATTAAGTTTTCGTTCTCTTGGATGCAAAAGAGTTGAGAGGAGAACAAAAAAAATTTAGGACTGGATTGATACATAGTAAAGTGCAGATCCAGGGTTGAGCTTGGGCAGGCTCGAACCCTACCAACCCATATAAAATTGAATTAGATTAACAATTTTTCTTTAAAAATTATTAGGATAATATATGGTTGAATTTTTTGCAATCTATCATTTCTTTAAGAGTAATGATATTTGCAGTCGCTCACTACTATAACATTCTACATAGCATACATATAACGATTAGTCATTTGATGCATTAATGTAATAATTTTTTATTACCTCATGCATCAAATCATTAACAATAATAAAGATGTCACGTAAGGCTACTACAGTAGTGAGTGACTGTAACTAGCATTATTATTTCTTTAAATTGATTTGAAGCCTAATTTCTTAAAATAGATATTCTTTAAAATGTTTTTCTTAAAATTACACTTTAATTAAATGTGCTCAAAATTAAAGATTTTGGGCCCTAATATGTACTCATATTTAAGAATATCAAACAGCCAATTGCAAGAAAGATTTGATTTTGAAATGAAATGAACATACATGTATTTATTTAGATTCAATTAAGGAAGACGAACATTATTTTACATTCCATACGTAAATTTATTCGTCAACATTATTTTGCTATAAACATTTTTTAAAACAAATTAGCAATGGAATTATTCGTCAACAGAGTTCATCACTACATTTTAACTAAATGATTCGATCAAGAAAAGAAACCTAAAACAAAAATATTCAAGACAATAATAGATTGAAATAAGGATTGGAAAAACAATTTACAGCCCAGATATGCGTCAAAATTTCAAATGATTAATCATAAGCAGCCTGCATACTTACAGAGAAATTACAAATGAAATAATGCAGGTAAGGTAAGGTACTAGAGCTGTTATATACATTGTCCTAATGGGACATACGACTAGGTCCCCATATACGAATTGTTT